GGTGCCAGTTGGCCTGACCGTCCCGGCCGGCGGCACCCAGGCCCTCGGTGGCGGGGGGAAGGCTGGACCTTGTCCATCGCCCGCCCAGCCCCTCGCCTACAGCTCTCCTTCCCCCACAGGCATCGCCGCCCTTCCGCCAGCCCCAGCTCGACAGCAAGATGGCATTTTACTGAGAACCATCTGACTTTATTGGTGCACGTTAGAGCTCTAGGTGACTGGAACATTCACAGGTGCTCAGAGGAAGCTGTCTGAGATGAAGGTGAGCACACAGCCCGCGACCCTCCTGCCCCACGCAGTGCTGTCACAGTGCTCCCGTTCCGGAGTCTAGTCTTCGTGGATGTTGAAAAGCTTTGCTACTTCATTGAGATCCTCATGCTCCTCCCCGTCTTTGATGATCTGAAGGAAGGAAGAACGCATTAAAACCTGCACATCCCATAGTGCTGTGGAAGGCTGTACACGGGCCCAGCCCATGGGCTGATGTCTCAGATCCTCTCTGAAGCTCTGCTGATGACAGCTCACCAACGGATGCAGTTCACAACCCAACAGCAGTACATACTACAGCCAGATTTATACAGGCGTCTTCACTGAGTATGAGCTGCCTACAGGAACGGCTGGAGTCAAATCCAGCCTCACTGTCCCTGCAGGATTTGTTCCCATGTCTGGGTTTCCCTCTGCAGCTGGGGAGAACAAGTATCTTCAAGAAGGGATTCACCTCCACTCTGAGATGAGCCACTCTCTTTGCATTGCCTTAGAGGAGCCAGTCTAAGTGGCTTAAACTTGCAAACCTGTCCTGTAGACAAGGGGACTACGAGGCTAAGGATCCGGTCCACGCTTGGCTCTCTGATTTAGGAGAGGGCTACTAGCAGGAAGGAAAGGATCTCTCTTTCGTGGAAATTGGAGAAGTAACAGGTTTAAACTGCATCATGAAAGCTTCAGCTTAGATACCAACGTAAACTTCTAACATTAAGAACAGTTCATTTTGGGACAGACTGCCTGCGGACAGTGTGGAATCACTCTCATAGTTTAAACTACTGAAATTCTCCAAAGATGTTAAAAACTTGACCCAAGTATAGCTGATCTGGCCTTGGGGGATGGAGACAGACTATGGGGGATGGAGACAGACTAAGCACCTCCTCAAGGCTGCTTCTAACCCTGACTTTTTGTGGCTGTGTATCTAGGATGACAGACGTTTTAAACTGTTTCAGACACTTGTATGTTAGACAAAGTAGCACAAAAATGGGACATTTCACTCTGATGCTCAGTTGTGTGCAGTTCTTGCCTGTACTTATCGCAGACCTGAAACTTCAGCCACGCAAAGGCAAGGCTTGAAGCATAAACCTGATTCAAGTTGTTTCTGTAAGAATTCTGAACAAACATGCACAAGAACATCTCCCACCATTCACCCCAGAGAGGGCTACCACTGGATATTGCACCGCTCTGCTCCAGACAGAGCATCTGCATTAATCCATCCTCACTGTAAACTGGTAGATTTACAATGAAGAAAATCCCCAGCCTGAGCAAGCCTCACAGTCAAGCGCACCAGTCCTGTACTGACCTTCCGCGCAATAGGCATTCTGTTGAAGATGTTCCATAGTACGATTCCTACCACAACTTTATCCCTGAGGTAGAAAATTACACCTTTGCCATAATCTTCTCCTTGCTGTGGAACTTGCGGCATTGGCGAAAAGCTTGGAGCAATCTGAACTTCTGAGGCTTCTGCTTCTGTCTCACTCTCTGATCGAATCCCTGTCCCTAATGCAAAGACAGGAGAGATCAAACACCCCGTGCAGAAAGAAGCAGTAGCTCTTTAGTCTGCTCTCACCATCAGCGGCAAAGAGCAGGGCTCTGTAAGAGACTGAGGTGGTTTGCTTTGAGTTGTGTCCAGCAAAAGTTTCAGTAACAGGAGAAGGAAGCAGTCCTGCCATGGAAGCAAAACGCTGCCAAACCCCAACTTCCACCGCCACATGCAAGAGACAGAACAGCTCCTTCCTCCAGGCAGCACTCACAACATCAAAATAGAGGAAATTAAGATTCACTGGGGAAAAAGGTTTTAATTTTGGTAAATGAGTTACATGACATCTTCTTGGAGGAATATTATGTTTTAATCACATTTTAATATGGAAACCAGCCTTTAAAGCCTGAAAGCAAACAGACTGCTGTTGCCTAGTGCTCTGCAGTGAGACCAGACCGACCCTGCAGCCACTGCACAGAGCGAGACACAAAAACCCTCACACGCAGAGACAGCTCCCAAGCACGAGTGCAGCCCCACCTGATTGCTCCGTTGCACTTTTCGGTGTGTCCTTTTCTGTTGCTTTAGCAAAGACTCCTACTGTTGGCAAACTGCTGTCAACAAGGCCGATGGCTTCGTACCCTACATTAGGGCCCAGATCGCTCCTAGGAAAGAAGTGGCATTAGTGCAAGAGAAGGCAATTCCATCCAGCCCCAAAACCTTAATGACAGCGCCGGGCGAGAGAGATCACGTTTGCCAGCATTTAGCAGAGGAGAAGGGAGTCTACTCAGTGAGGGCTGGCAGACTCCCAGAGTTAACTGCTGTCGACAAAACCCACGACTGCAGCTCGCAGTCCCCGAACTTCCTGCATCCGAGCCACGGTCAGAGGATCCTGAAGAAAGCCACACCACTGGAACGGATGCTTCTCTGTCCTTGTTTAAAAGCGAATCGAGAAACGCTTCTGGGTCCTGAGTCTGTGCAGTACAGACCAAGCGTTCAGGTAAATGATCTTGAGTTAACAGGCTTTGTGATTTTTTTTTGTGTGTGTGTTTTATTTGGTTTGTTTTAAAAAGAACTTCAAAAGTATACAGCAGAACTGCCTCTTTTCTTGATACCTCTCTCTGGAAAACAACAAGCTTTCACGTGCGCTCCTGGACGCAGCGATGCATTCCTACCAAGGCATCAGTTCCGCTAATCAGCAAAGGTGCAACACAGCTGAAACCAACGGATTGTGCTGGGGAACTTCAGACAACTGGGACAGAAAAGCTGCTGCTAACTTCAACCTGCATGTTATCCTGCTCTGAGGAAAGGGGCTGCTCTCTATCGCTGCTTGCTTTGCTGAAAGGGACTCGTTCAGGGAGAAACTGGGAACTACAGGAAGGAAAAACATTTCAGAAAGGTCAGGGTCGAGCAGCAAGCGCTCCAACAAGCTTCTGGGAACAAGCAGCTGTACAAGGTATTTGCTGAAGTAGCTTCACTATGCCCATGAAACAGAAACCTTTTCCAGGTGTATCTTTGTCACAGCTCCTGCCATGTGGCCAAACAAGAAACCCCAAAAGAAGCAAGCAGCGTTACCAGAACATGGACTGGTGCCAGTAGGGCTTGGCAGCTCCTGTCATGTTTTCACCGGCTAGTCTTCCGCTCACAACGGCATGATCGTGGTGCTCCACACGTCTCCTGCCCAGCTTGATATCATAGAAGCAGGCAGCATCCCCTGCCTTACAAAGAATTGTTCCGTGAGGACTGAACATTGGGATCAAAAGCTTAAACTAAGGCGCAAACACAGAAGGCACTGGGAGGAGAGCAAAGCGGAACCATGAACAGAGCTTTTCTGACAAACCCGGAACACCACCTCGTCCCACTCCCCAGGCTGCACAGGTCCCCATTTATCAGCATTTTTCACTGATCTTTGGAAAAATAAGACGGCATCGGGTATGTTTTTGCAGAGGAATCGAAGTCTCCACTCCCACCGAAGGGACTCTTACGCAGTAGAGGAATCCGTGCGATCTTTAGGATACCCCAACTCCTCTTATGCAGCACAAATATTCCAAGACTCACCCAGGCGTTACCACAGCAACGCAGCGTGCTGTGCTGCACAAACAGACTCCACGGCTGCTGGCAGCATCTGCACCACAGTTGCTCTCACCACTTGCTATTTTTTGCCCCTTTCACCTAACCGAGGTACGCCAGCCCCGAGAACTCTGCGTATTCCAACTGCACCAGCATAAGCAGCAGACAGAAACCTCCTCTGCGTGTACTCACCACCCAGATATTGGAGCGTGCCTGCAGCTCCGCGTTCACCCTGAACCCTCCGAAGTCAGAGTCCACCTCCAGCCCAGCTGACTTTGCTAATTCCACATTAGGCTCCAGCCCTACCGCAGCCACAATATGATCGGTCTCCACCTGTTTGGGAATTCATAATTATCTCAATTTTCTCAACACCCCTGCAAACTTTACCCTCTCCCTACTTTTATATTTACCTTTCGTCCATCTTTCAGTTTAATCGTCAGCCGATTGCCAGAGACAGAGACAGACTTGACCACAGCGTTAGGCATGACATTAACACCCTCTGGAAACAAAGACAGGAAATATAACTGCTTGCTCAGGGCGAGAGGGATTTCAGCTGAAGCAGGCATCAAACAGCTGCAGGCAGAGCAGGGGCCAGGTCAGAAAGCGAGGCAGAGCCCACCTGATCTTTGCTGCACGTGCCAGCACAGCTCTGAGTGAAGCACGAAGGGAAAGTGGCTCTGGGATGACTGCATTAAGCTGTCAGAAGTAAAATTATTTGAGGCTAGAGCAACTCGGAAGAGAATGGGCAGCTGTCATAAGATAGCTTTGGCTCCAGATTTCAGAGGGAGTTACTTTAACGGCCAAGGATGTGGCAGGGACCACTCTGCACAGCATCAGCAGGGGCATTTGCTTGGCTTTCCCAGAGGAGCTGTTCAGCAGCCAGGGATTCGCAGCAGCTCTGTGCCACCCCAGCTGACGGAACTGAAACTCGCTCTGTTCTGCGCCTGAGCCACCTCGCAAGGGACCGAGCCTTCCTGAGACTCCAGGGAGGAAGCAAGCAGAGATGTGTTTCACAGGGAAGAGCTACGCGACAGCCACCGGCCTAAACAGCTCTGCCACCCGCAGGGGAGCGCCAGCAGGCAGCTTCACCTCTTCTGACTTTCTCTGTGGTCCAGTTGCTCAGATATTCAGGCAAGACTTTGCCCATGTTGCCGTTCTCTGGAAACAGCTGGATCACCTCCAGGCCTCTGGTTCGTGCTGGAAGGAAAGCACAGAGCAGGCTTCTTACAACCCACAAAGAAAGAGCAGCAGCACAGACCTCAAGACACCAGTGTGTGCTTTACTTTACACAAGAAGCTTGACAGAAGTTTCCGAAACTGGGAGTTTTGGCTCCCAGGTTTTCCACGGGAGTCACAAAGTGACTGGCCACTGGATCACACACCTGCAAACTCTGTTTTGGAGAATTCTGGAGCAAACTTCCCTTAATAGAAAAATTACCATAAAGACACTACTCAAAAAGCTGCGTGCACTTGACAGTAAGAATCCAGTTGTTCACAACCTCTTTGAAATAACAGTTTTAGGGCGGCTTTTAGTACCAAGAGAGCAAATACAGCTTTTTACAAGGTGGAATGACTCTGCAACATGCACTGGCCTGCACCACTGCTACAAAAACCTTTGTGGTCAGGGCTGCTTGAGAGCTAACGAGAAAATAACGACCACACGGCCAACACAACACACCTGCATTAAGGTTATTTCAGGCAAACCACAATCTGTGCAGAAACTTGTCAGCCAGGGAATAAAAAGGACGTTTATAACACCAGGCTGCTTCCATTCGATGCCTAACGCTCCCATCAAGGTGACAGCGGAAGACAAGCCACCCGCAGAAGCACACTCACCTCTTCTTCCCAGAGCACAGGCCAGCTCACTGCCAAGAAAACCACCACCAATAATTGTGATGGACTTGACTTCTCTGGAAATCTTCTCCAGACTTTTGAAGTCCTCAATCTGAAAGAAGATTTATTCCCATTTCAAACATCCTCAAACACAAATGGCAGAAGAAGATATTTTTCTTCCTTTGAAATATGAAAAACTCTCCCCAGCTTAGAAAGGGAAACATATATTGCACAGAAAAAACTCTGGCTTCCTCATGTTTGAGTAAGCTTTTCCCTCTCCAGGCAATCTCAGATTCCAGAGAATCTGGACACAAGCATACCACAGTACATCCAGGATGCCACAGCTCACATCATCCATCTTCCCTTCCTGCAGCTGAGCAGACCAGACCTTAGGGGAAGCCCAGCACAGAGCAGAAAGTTTCCATACGGCTTTTTATTCCCGATTCATTCCCTGAACTAAACTAAGGAGAAGGCTGCATGCCTGTTCTAAATCCCGTGTTTTCAACAAAACAGAGCATGCCAACAAAAAGCAACGCTACAGCGACAACCAGGAGACCACTGACCAGCTTCCATGTCTGCTATTCACTTTGTCCCAGGGCAGAGGATGAAGGGGAAGAAACGCCATGACAACGGCACGGACAGGAGTTTATTAGTTCATTTAAGCCAATCCAAGAGCTCACACTCTCCACTCACTCAGATAGAATTCCAGAGCAGGAGAGCAGTCTCTGCCCCAGCTCAGGCCAAAGGCCAGCCTCCGGCCCATGTGCTGCACAACTGTGGCACACGTTCATTCCGGAGGGGTGTCAGGCTGGAGTCCTAAGCCAGCGTCCTTTGTCAGCTCACGGTCCTGAAGGCAGACGCTGCTTACAGTCCAAATGGACCCGCAGGGCCTACACTGCTCGTGTTTTTGAAAGGCCTGGAAGGGGCAACGTCATACAGGAGGGAAACAGACAAACAAAATAATTTAACTCCCCTCCACCACCCCCATGGTTACAGCTCCCAGACCCGAGGCAAGCAGATAAGTGGTCCAGCAGGCTCTACCCCGTCTACTAGGGACAAGGAATAACTAGCAAATGGGCTCCTGGTTACCAGCTGACAGAAGCAGCTGCCGAGGCAAGGCTGTCCTGGACGCAAAGCAGAAGAGTTAAAAAGCTGAAAATAGCAGCAGCAGCTCTGGTTTTTTCAGCCTCACCCCACAACTCGCAGCACCTGGAGATTACCTTTCGGAACAGCGTCAGCCTCTGTTGTACATCTTTTCCTGCTCTTTCAATGGCGGGAAGGTTCCTTGGGGAGCCACCTGAGGATGAGGGGAGTGGGACACAGAGAGAGGGACTAATGGTACCATGGCCATGTCACTGGCTCTCCAGACAACGCAAAGGCACCTTTAATCTGGACTGTGCTTTCCAAACTGTCACAATATGCTCTGTTCCCTGTTGCTGTCTGGGTTTGTAACAGGAAAGACCTTCTGTGTGAGCAGTAGGTGACCCAACAGCCACCCAGGAGAGAAAATCTAATGTTGTACGCCTTGCCGCACGGACTAGAGACAGCCACTTCGACTATCACCGCAGAGGGCTCTAGAACTGCTCAGGCCAGATGCTGGAGCAGTGCTCTGCCAAAGCGGGAGCTGGCTGTTCTGCTTGCTGCTGTTAACAGGCAGGATTTGAAGAGGCTGGCCTGCACAGGAGCTCCTTTACCGAGCTGCTAGGGAACGCATCTTTTCCTCCTTCCCTGCTCATGTTCACGGGGAAAAACTTTGAACATCCCAGAGAAGCTAGGTGACGGGAGGCAGGTGAGAAACCCTGTGGCACGTTTGTCTGCATGACTATCCTTCACGTGACTGCTCTACCAAGCATTTGACACAGACTGCAGAAACTTGCTTGTCAGAAAAACGCCACTAAAATAAAAAGCTTTGCACAAGACAAAGAAAAAACCCAACAACTTACCAGTGGCAATTAGACACTTGTCATAGGATATCTGGGTCCCATCACTGAGCTTCACTATGTTGCCTCTAACGTCCATATGCACAACCTGCAAAAGCACACAAGCAGGAGAGCTCAAGCTTCCATTCAAGTTAAACTGCACGGACTATTGATCAGAGAAGCAAACTTGGAAGTAACATTCTCCCTCCTTTGAATTTAGGGGGGGGCAGGAGGGGGGAAGGCAGAAGACTGAAGCAGGAATTGAGGCAAGCTCTCTGGCAGCCGTCACAGAGCAGGTTGATCTTCCCAGGATCCGAGTCTAAGCAATGGACTCGGACACCTAGTCAGGAGGGGTCACTGACATCTTTTAGCATCACATATAAAACTGAGGAAGCAAACATATTAGGAGCCTCACCATAAACTTCCACCTTCCCGCTGCCTCTGCACAGTGCTCTTGCTCATGTTATAACCCACTGCTCAGATAGCTCTGCTCTCTTTACCTCACCTCTGACCGACGTATAGCCCAGTTCCCATTTCGTCACGCCCTGTCTCTAAGCTCTACATATTCCTGTCCCATGCCCAAACTCTTGGCTTACCTATCCTTCCCTCTTCCTCACCTTCCCTCAGTTCACTACTACTCCTCACAGCTTCACCCATTTTCCAGCTTCACTCCTGCTGTCCTTAAGATGAGCGTGGTCCCTGCTCTAACCCTCCACACCCCCACCTACAGCTGTTTAGTTTCAGCTCAGAGCAGAGGCTCTGCTTGGGAAGAGCTGTGTGATGCTAGCACAACCGCTAGTGCTGTACCCACCTTCTTGCCACAGAGAACTGCCACTCCACCGTTTTCTACAGAAGGCAGATCACGAACGGGCACATAGAATGACGGCGGCTGGAAATATATACTGAAAAAAAGCTGCATTACCAAATGGGTTCCACTTTCACTGCGATACCAGCTACTCAGCAATTACCAGTGACACAAAGACAACCCCGCGCATCCATGACAAGTTCCATAATTCTTTGTTTATTGATTTTTTAAGAATTAGGGTCTTCACACTGTTGAAGGTCAAGGGTTTAGATCAGTAAGGCTTTATCACTAAAGTCACAAGAATCAAATGAGAGCCAGGGTCCGTGAACCTGTGCTCTAAACCGAGAAGCGATGCTCTCACCTTTACTATTAACTTATTCCACACAATTTCTGCTCCGCGAGTCTGCAGCCTACATCGTGGAGTCTCAGGGACTCCACAAGGCAGCCAGTCAGTGCCAAACAGCACACGGGGCTGCACACAGCATGCTTTCTCCATCAGCCCACGCTCTCCTTCATCCTTGCTACCCGTACGCAACACGTACCTCCTCTCCTTGCCATTCCACTGTCTGAATCGCAGAGTCTCTGTCACATCTGGATCATCTGAAAACCACAGCTCTTTGGAAAGAGGTGGCCGCATATAGGGTAGGGCGGGATCTTCAGACACGATCAGCACCTTTAATTGGTCATTAAACACATCAGTGGTACCAAGGCCAAAACCCACGGCAGGAGCTCTGAAGCAAGCACAGCGCTCAGTCACCCACACCGCTCTGCACTAGAACAGCGCATCTCTTACCCGGGCACCAGGGTCACGAGCCCGAATGGATCTGGCAGCAGCAAAAGCAGCGGTTCCTCCACCGATCAGCAGGAAAGGAACGTGAGATGGGACCTCAGGGCGAGCTCCCAGAGCTGCAGGTGACAGATTGGAGAGCTTACTGCAAAGACAGCAGGAAAACGGCCCAGCCCCAAAGAACAGAGCATGTCACCAGCCGTCTTCCTCATACAGACGTCCTTTGGCAAACTGCCTTCCAAATACCTTCTCCCCTTCCTTTCCACCCCAATAAACTTCCCAAGAACCATGCCGCTGCTTCACTCAAAGCTGGCTCCCTGCATAAATCAAACTGTCAGATTTCAGCAGATCTCTTTTTCTTAGCTAGATCTGCTCAGCTGAGCTCAACAGCAACTGCAGAGCACTTGTGAGCAAGAGCAAAACTCTGCACCGGCCATTCAGCAAACAGTTTATAAGAAAGCAAAGTTCCCTAAAATGCCAAGGCGTATTTCCCCATAATTGTATTCTGAAAGGCAACCAACTTTTGAGCTCCTACCAGAATGCATCTCCTCCCACGTGCAGGTCCTGTTTCTAAGCAACATGCAGTTAAACCATTCGCAGTAATAAACCAGCCAGGTAAATACTGCCATCAGGACTCACCTGCCGCACCCTGAGAAGCAGCATCTGTATCTGGAAGAGAAGACAGTGACTTAATTCAGCAAGGCATGGGCCATCAGGGACACTGCAGTTGGGAAGCTGCAGTTCAGGGCTGGCTCGAGGAGACCACGGGATTAATGGGCTCTGCACTGTACGGGGACAGAGTCTCCAGAAACCCAGACTGACCCAGACCTCTGCTTCAGCACTGGGGCCTCCAGCCCCAACCCTGCCAAGCACGTTCTATCCTCTCCCTCAAACCAAAGCAATCAGCTTTCTGTCCTGCCTGCAGGATACTCTTTCTGTTGGTTTCCTAAAGTGACACAACACACCCCATCTTCCATGACCTAAAGCAACAGTTATTGGGAAATCCTTTGGCTCCATAGTTCAGACACTGCAGTGTGAGATCTCATAAATTAAGAGAGACCCGTGGTCCACACACAGCCTGCAAGGCGTCATCAAGAGCCTCACTAATTGCCTCAATTCCCCTCTACATGTGGCCCAAGCAAGATACTTCCCGCAGGCTCAGCCTGCCACGCAGAGGCCAGGGATGCGGCACAGCACAGGGGATTTGGTGCCGGCAGACCACGTCACCCCTTCGGAATCACAGCGTCTTTGCTGGACGGCATAGGGGTAACAGACAAAAGCAGAGATAATTCTTTTCTCCTTTTGTCACAGAAGGCATAAACAGCAGAAAGGAGCGCCGAGAGACCACCTACTTTATCCTCACCATTATCTGTACAACAGAGCCTTGTCTGGGGTCACGGAAAGCCAGCACCTGCTTCTGTGCCGTGAAGAGATGGGAATTCACAGACAGCAGAGAGCACCAAGAGGTGACAACGCTGCGAGGGCACAGCTTAGGCTAGTCCATGCTCTCAGAAGGGCTCTGTTCCATCTGGTTTAGAAGTCTCCAGTTAGCAGCTCATGGAGAACAGACCCAAACCTGGAACTAGCAGGCTGGTACCCACCGGAGGGAGATGATTCACTTTCTTGAGATCGCTTGGTTATGGCTGTGACACGACTGGTGTATCGCTCTTTGTTTTCTTTCAGTGTTTTGTACACCTGCAGACAGACAAGAGATATTGACTTTGTGCATCTTACAGCATCAAGGCAACATTCTGCTTCTACCCTCAAGAGGCTTTTGTCTACCCTGCTTGCTCTGAAAAGCCATCTGCTTCCGATTAAAGCACACGGTCCGAAATATACCTCACTGAAAAAAGTGCCCGTACAGGTATGTACATATGGCTACAAGAGGAGCACACTTGGAAAATTATCTGCTCTGTATATATGAAGAATTTTGGTTGTCTGGCTGCTTTCCATAAGCAAGCAATCGGCCTTTCTGCAGGTGTTTGGCCTGCGGGCTGCAGAGCTGCTCGAAGAGGAACCAGATACAACAAAGGAAACACCGTCAAACGCACGCCACGGCTCTCTGCAGGCTAGGCTGTGGCTCGTGGCACAACACCGGCTGCAGAAAAGGAAGACAAATGCAAGGCACAAAGCAACTGGCAGCTTCGAACGCCTAGAGCAGCCAGGCAGAACAAGCCAAGAACCTCCCGGGCTTTCGTCAGGCCAGACGTTACAGGCACGACGTCGGCAGTGGTACCATCACCGATGCCAGCAGTGCTTCTCAGACATGCGAGCGCCGCTGCTCCAGGTACAGCCTCCGGCTGGAAGAGATTCCCCTGTCTGAGTGCTGGCCCTCCGTTAAACTCGGGATGCAGCGAGTACAGCCTGCAGCTTCTGGGGACACTGTTTAGTGGTACAGACACGGAGGGAACTTTTTTTAAGACATGTTAACTTTCAAGAAAAATTGGTGATGCAGAGAAGCAAAAGACAACAAGGCTGCTGGAAGCAGATCACAGGATGATACTTGCCCCCACAGTTAACAAGTTAGAGGGAAGCAAAACCTTGCCAATAATCCATATCACACGTGCACGACATTAACTTTCATTTTGCATTGTTTATAAACAAGAGAAAAACCTATCAAGACAGTCTGAAACACAGCCATCTCTCCAGTTACTGCCTTTGGAACTGTGAAAGAATATTAAAACCGGAACGTTTCCAGAAAGAACTAAAAGCCTGCTCGATGTAAAGGCACGCTAGGTAATGCCAAACCACTCACGGTGAGCTGACAGAGTGTTACGACATCCCAAGGACGTTTGAACAAAAGTTAATTCCTCAGGGGAACTGAAGCCTCTTTTGCTCCCCTGACATTTTGCATTTTTCCAGTCCCCACAATTCGCTGCGTTATAACACAGCAAATAGTCTCAAAAGAGAACTGAGGAGTTTAACACCAAGTAGAAAAAAGAACCCAGGCAGACAAAAGCCTATCCAGGGAACAGAGACAATGTCAAAAATATCAGAAAACAAGAAGTCATTGGTGCTGAGAATAATTAAGACAAAAGGCTATCCAGGGAACAATGTCAAAAATATCAGAAAACAAGAACTCATTGGTGCTGAGAAGAATTAAGATATTTTAAAAGCCTTTTACTCAAACACATAAAAGTCCAGGTTACCAAAACTACCCCTGCTTCAACAAGGAGAACCGTCACGTTTGTAAGCGAGTCTGAAGGGCAGCACACAGTGAATTACATCTGATCCCTTATTAAAAAATGCCTATATAATATACATGACTAAATAATACATGCAAAACATCAAGTGAGGTCTTCAGGATCATTTTTTGCAAAGGGACAATGGCAAGTTCTTTCCAGCCAGAAACACAGCTGTACACCTCCCCAGATAACAGAGTGGTGTTTCAGTGCTCTTCTCTGAAGAGATCACACAGCTAGACGAGTTTTCTCTTCCTTCCTCTAGCATACTCACATTTACTTGATTATTTCCATTATTTGTATGCCAACATAACCAACACCAGAACAGATGCACCAATTAATCTGTGCCTCTCTGAGGGTTACAGATCAAAGACGGACAGTTTTGGTTCTAGATTTATTTAATGGGGAAGAGTTAATTCTGAGGCAATTTTTCCCACTAGACACTGAGAATATCAGATTTGAAAACTTAAATTGACATTGTCCCTCCCTCCGCCCTCTCCCCAGTTCAGACACGTTCCTGTAACCATCTTACATAAGCGCCCGTCCCCGTGACCGTTCCTCCTACAATTAAGTACAACAGGTTGCTGCCAGCTTTGCCAGGAACACCTGAAGACGTCAGTGATCGAGAAGGGCATCTGAGATGGTGACATTGCAAAGCTGCAGGTGAAGACAGGCAAGGAGAGAGAAGAGAGGGAAGGAGACAGGTATTAAGACAGACTCTTGATTAAACAGATCTTGGGAAAAGCAGAACGGGTTTTGTAATTTCAGTCACCTTGTTTGGGAAAAAGGTACAGCAGGGCACAGTAAGGAATACCAAAAGGGGACAGGAAGAGTCTTTTCCTCCATTAACTGTTTTGAGGTGTTTTTTTTTTTTTATTATTTCCCAGGAGCCTTCGTCACACGAAGAGTTTCATTAGGAGAAAATCAGAACTCAGAACTTTTAATGAATATGATCCTCCAAGAAAAAGAATTTTGAAACCAAGATTTGTAAGATGTAAATGTAGGACCCATCCGCTTCTGGGTAATGCTGCTACTCCTCAGCTACCTGGGAACGTGATTTACTCTCCAAATTGTGCTGAAAAGCTTCATCCTTTTGAATCTTTGGAGCAAGACATACATGCCCGCTCACCAGTTTGGGGCTGGTTTGGTACACTCGCACAGGCTAAACATGGATGTTCTGAATGGAGATTTGGCACAGAATGCTTCACTTGGGTATTAAAAGCACGTGCCATCCAACTCTCCCTGCGCTGTCATGTACAAGACAACAGACAGAGCTGTGTCTGGTCACAGCATGTAGAAAAAAATAATGTCTTTATAGTAAAATAACCCTAAAAGGTAACTGGAATTACAGTTTAAAAAAAAATTATCAAAAGAAGTTAATTTCCAGGCAGCTCAGTTAGCTCCCCTTGAAGTTTTCCGAAGGAAGAAATAGCTACAGAGATAAAAATCTAAGTAAAGTTAGCTGAAATACAGCAAATGCTTGACAGGAGAGATGTATTGCAGCTTCTTTCCAGGAACTACCTTGCTACTTACATAGGCACCTGCTCCTAATGTTGACAAGCCCACAATAAGGACAAAAACAGAACTATCGCCTTTGCCCCCGGGCGCGCCAGCGCTAGCCACTTGTCTGCTCAGCTGCAGTTCTAGGGGAACATTCCAGCGCTGCAACAAGTTGCCTAAGGAACACAATTTATTAGAGAAAAACACAAAAAGACTGTAAACACAAAGTTACGCTTTGAAATTTAGAGACTGAGTAATTTCTGAAACCAAGTAAACAAGCTCCTTGTTTGAAACGCCCAGAACCGCATCTGAGGGACTGCGGGGAATTCTCCTCTGCCGCAACACATGGCTCCAGGCTGTTGTGGATACCAAAACCACAGGTAAGATCAAAGAGTAACTGAACAAATTAACAGCAGGAACACCTAGGAGGCAGCTAGAGACTCTCTCCAGCTGAAGGAGTCCTCAAGGCACGTACGGCTGGGAGAGCCCACTGGAGAGGCACGTGTCCTGCGCAGGGGCTGTCCTCACACCCGCCTCCAGCCTCTCTGCCAGAGGCACGCGCTGGTCCTCCGATGTGCCTGGCTCCCCACTGGGTGAGCAGAGGCCAGCGAGACCGCGGCAGGACCAGGGTAAGCGTGGTTATAACAGAAAAAAACCCCTTTGCCAGCCCAGCGTGCTCCACTGAGCAAAGCACCATCAGAAAGGGGCTTCTACCGACAGAAAGGGCACCCCAAAGGGAAAGGAGCAGCACGGCTTCCAGCCCGGGCAAAGGCATCCTCCAGCACGCGAGCCAGATGCAGAGTGTGCTGAGCGAACAGCTAACATTTTACTTTACTGTAGTTTAATTACTGCCCCAATTAAATCTGTAGCCGCAGCAGTGCCGGCGGTCGCTGGGAGCGCGGGCTCGGGCGGCAGCAGCCCGCTGGAGCCTGCAGAGCGGCCGTGGGCT